TATGAGCTGAATAAAAGTCACTTTCCTTATACTTCTTGTCGCGTCCTTCCCTTCGCTCCAAGATGTAAAAATTCCTATATTGCTTTCACATGATTATGTACTGTGCCAAAAAAAAAAAAAAGTAATCTGAATGGAAAATTGCGAGTTTACTAATTTCTACTGAGGTAGCAAGGATCTTTCCTCCCTGCCTTTTGAAAGAAAAAGGTGGGGAAAAACTCATTTTATAAAGAAATAACTGCCCATTTTTAGATGACTATCTTTTTCATCTCTAAAAATCTCTGAAGTCCCTGCTCCAGTGAAAATGGGGATGCATCTGGTGAAAGTTGGGACTGGAAAAAGGAAAGTAGGATGTCAACTAGCTCTTATCTTATTATAATATGAACCATTTTCAGTTTTTGTATTCATGTTGAGCTTGTACAATTATGTCCATAATTAGTTTTAAAGATGTTTAATATAATGAAAACCAAGATACTTCATCCCATGTCTCAGTTTTAATCTACATTTTTCCAAATTGTTATAACATATATTATTCTCAAATAAAGTACCTCTAAGCATGAATTTAAGAATCTTACTTGTCACTATAATCATCTCTCTCATACATTCCAAATTAATATGGGATACCAAGATCAGTTCTGGCACTTTTCATCCTGCAAAGTATCAACTGGTCATCCAAAGTGAAGATTTATTTTAGTGGCCCTTAGCCCTCTCACCTGGTTCCTCAATAACATAGAGGATAGATTTGCCACTGGAGTCCTCGTAATATTGGAAGTACACTACACAATCATTCTCATCCTTGTATGTACAATTCACAGCATCTTTCCCCTTGTCTCCTGCAGAAGAAGACAAAGTAAAGAACATTTAGTTCCCTGACACTATTCAAGAAATTGTTAACATTTAGATCTAGAAATGTCAGTAGGGGTGTTAAAGAAACAGGGTGACTCTGACACATCTCAGAATCTATGTAAAGACTGTCTTGCCAGACAGGTGTCCATTATCATTGATCCATGTGGCACATCACATTTTGTATCTGCTATTCTCAAAAGAAGTGTGAAAATATAGAAGCATTTCTTTTAAACCCATTCTCGAGTTGCAGATCTTCAGCCATCATTCACTTCTCCCAAAGCGATGGGCCCATTAGGATGCTTTACCTGTAGGCCAATTAAATCCAAATATATTCCTGGGTGCTATTGGAATAGTCGACATGATTGGTACTAACATCAAAGTTCCAGTTTTGCTGCAAAATATGCAGCTGACTTAATAGAATCAGCCTGAATTTTCTTCTGTTCTGCAAACCCAGGATAGCTTTCTGGTTTTCCAATAAGCAGATTAAAAATGAAAGAAGTTAAGAGTAGAGCAAAATTCTCAGGAAATTATATTCATTATATAGTCTACTTCCCAGCACCAATAATTGTGGATACTTCACCAACATCCTTTCATCCTTATACAGTAATATTTTCTGTTTTCTCAATAATTCTGGCCTTACTCTGGGTAGATAGAGTAAGACATTATTAAGAAACTTTCAGTATGTGAGCAGTGATATATCTGAAGAAGAAGAAAATCATGCAAATCTGCCACAAGCAAAATGTTACACCATTATTTACTCAATCCAGGAATATGTTCAGAACATAAACATTTCACCCTTTGTGGGGTTATTTTATTCTTGATTGCTGCAGCACTGTGGCCTAATTCATGACCTTTTAAAGCCTTTCTTGACTAATTACATGTAGCTGAAGGCAACTAATTGACTGCTTCCAACAGGCAGTTAAAATGCCTGTAAATTTACTTCTTGAAACAGCCTCCTTTTCTTTTAATCTTTATAAGCTAATTTGTATTATTTTATTTTAGTAGGCTTCTCGGGCATTTTCTTGTAGACTAGACCATTACCAGTTGGTTTCAGGCTGGATTCTAGCATGGAAATTGCTGGTGTTGTCTTAATGAATAACCTTTTGTTGGAAGATAACAACAAATGTATTTGGATGGGTGCCAGTTTCATTTCCAGCCTCCTACGTACTTCCCTGGTATCTAGTCACTGGATTTTAGGTGGTTCTGGTTTCTGGCTGCTGCTCTTTAATGCCAAGACAGCCTGTAATAAACCCTATTCACAACTTAATTGTGGAAGGGAGCAACTTTGATATGTTCCACCAAGATTTGTTTGTTGGGCATGGGGAGTTGGGATATTCTTCTCTGAAATGTGCCCACCTAGTTTTGGGTATGGCATCAGTTACCGGTGGGCTTCAAAATTTTTAGCAAGAGGTTCTCTGCTCAGTTGCTGGGTGGGCGTGGCCATGATGGGTGTGGCCTAGTTGGCTTCCTGCACCACAGAGGGGAGGGATTCCCTTCCCTCGGCTCCAGAGGCTTTCCTCGAGCCTTAAGGGCAAAAACAGCCTCCCAGGCTCCGGAGGCCCTCTGGAGGCCAGAAACAGGCCTGTTTCCAGCCTTCCCAAACTTCTGGTAGGCCCGTTTTTCACCTTCCCCAAGCCTTTGTGCACACCCTGCACTTACCTGCATCCAAAATGGGCCATGTGGGGATTCCTGGGAGGGGAGGAGTGGGTGGGGCCAGCCAGGATTGGGATTTAGGGGTTCTCCGAACTGCACAGAATCTTAACTAGAGGTTCTCCCAAACCACTGCGGACAATGGCATCAGCCATTGTCAACTTGAGGGGCAGACCAGACAGGAAACACAGTCAGATGAGCTAATTATATTTTATTGTAAAGCTATATTAACAAAATCTTGCAAGACCGAAAGTACATCCCCCCCCCCTCCATGCCCACGGAATGTGAATTTAACTGAGCACGGAGAAAAGCCTTTATTGATTGTTTCATGGCAATGGCAGTGAAACTAAATATTTCTTCACCCTTATTGTTTTCACATATTACTGGCTGGTGACCTCATTTAAGTGACCAACTTATCAATAGGGAGGGAGGGAGCAGGAAGCACCTACAAAGCTATTATGAATGCCTATTCCAGGCATTATCCAGATAAAGTTTCTCTGAGAGTTAGGGAGCCTACTAATCAATTAAATAAATAAATAAATTGGGAAGCCATCTCTCCCAGGCAACTCTGTCCATCTCATGAGGTTGCACAGAGTTGGCATGATCTGGTTCCCCCTCTGACCTAGGAAGTATGCCTACTTTGCTGTGGCATCTGAATTTTGGAATGAGCTTCACCCAGGGTTCTAATAGTCCTGAATCTTTTGGCCTTCAGAATTACTATAAGGACCTGGGTTTCCTGTGTATTTGGGCCAGGATGCTAGATGAAACTGTTCTGCAACATGTGTTCATATTTTTATTGTTAGCCTCAATTAGGGGCTTATGTTTTTCATTTTTCTGGTTTGGGATAGGTTATCACTGTAGTTATTCTTTCTTTAAAAAAAGAAGTATCTTTTGTATGTCACCCAGAGCCGCAAATTATGAGAAAGGCAGCTTTATAAATCTTTTGATTCTTTTTTTTTTTAAAAAATAACTCCTGTGACATTTGCTCGGTTTACAGTAATCACTGGTACTATATATTATGTTATCTTTCTGGCTAGGTTCTGGAGGTGGGAACTGATGGAATAGTGACTCTTAAACTAGCTATGAAGTCCGAAGATAAAAGACTACAAGATCCTTTATTTAATTTTTTAAAAATCCTTATTTCTGATGCAATTTAACATCTATAGGGGTAAATCGATGTGACATCACTGTTCTATTTTTTCCCCTTAATTATGAACAAGAAAGGAAGATATGCTGGTGAAAGTTTTCCAATATTAAAAAAAAGAAATAGTAGTTGCCAAAAACAAGCTACATATGCAAAACGCCCCTCCTTCATGAAAAAGACAAACCTCCTAGTTTGTCTATTTATAGGTGTCTCCTTCAAAATAGAGTTCTTGCTTGAATTCTTGTGTTAAAATCTTAATTGTCTATAATGATGAATACTCTGACATTGACTGCTTCCAGTCCAGATTGCAAGGACCAGAAGTCTAATATCCTATAATTTGGAAATGGAATTAAACAGACAGACAGACAGACAGACAGACAGACAGACAGACAGACACACACACACACAGAGAGAGAGAGAGAGAGAGAG